GGGGGGGGGGGGGGGGGGGGGCCTTGAATTTAGTTGCCATTGTGTGTTATTTGAAAACAAAATATATGTTCCCTCATATGTCATTGTGTAAGGTCAGTTTATCCAGTTAACACTTTGTTTAGCTGCTTTTGCTGAGTACAGTTTTATTTTGTAGACTTCTTTTATAGGCCTAGTTATTAATTTCTTGGTTTATATTGATTTTGCATTTTTTGGGTGAATAAAAACCCAGTTTTTCAACTACAACTCCTGTTCCCTCATTGACTCTCTGCTTGGTCCCCTACAATATGGATCCTAAAGCCAGTTTTGACACTGAAGAGGTTGAAAATACACATTCATACGTGTATGATGGAGCACAATCTTACAATTATGAGCCTGCTAGGTGTGCAAGGGACTGGAAACAGCCAAAAATGAGGAAAAATAACAGCCAGTGGAGGAGAACCACTGGGCTGGAGTAAACTGTGCCAATTCTTAAATCTTAACTCAGAAAAAATCCAATCTACAAATTGACCTTCAAATAATGTCATGCAATGTTTAATTGATTGTTTAGCTGTCAGTATTAAATATTCATTTGCACCCATAAGAATATGATAACGTTTGTTAGTTTAGATAAACACATAAGTGCTGAGATGCTGCTTAAGGCTCCTGAAAAAGCAAGTGAGTGGACCTTGAGTTAGGATTATTTTGCCATACAATTTCCAAGGTCAAAGGTGAATCTTCTCGCTCAATCAAATTGATGTTCAATGCAATCCATTAATAGACATTACATCAAAATAACCTAAAAAGAATGTGTGAAACTCAAACCTAAGCAACTAACTTTATGAGCTTTTACTTATAATTTGCTCGGAATCATCTCACAGCTCTATAGTGTAGGTACATACATACCACATGAAGAGCTCATGGACTCATAAACATAGAATATTTTCAGCAGGAACTTACCAATGTCTGACATTTCTGGGACTCTGGCCATGTACAGGTCCTTGGTGAATCGAGGCTCATTGTCGTTGATGTCGTGGATCTTGATGATGAACTCGGACTGACCCTCTAAAGCCTCGTTGGTGAAGCGGTTGACGGCTTTGGCGTGGAGGATGTAGTAGGCCTTCTCCTCCCTGTCCAGCCTCTTGGTGGCGTGGATGTCACCTGAATTCTCATCTATCTTGAAGAGGGTCCCCGCTCCTTCCCCTGTGAGGACGTACCTCACGCTTCCATCTCCTCGATCTGAATCTGAGTGAAGCTGCGGAGAAAAGAAAACATGATAATGTGTATCCCCCAAGCACCAAAACAACAATTTCAAGCAACATTTTGTGGCATTTTCATTTTAATAAATTTCCACTTTGCATCGCTCTATTGCTAATTGTTATAGCACAACAGTGATTTAAACTCTGGTTTATGAAAGCTTTCACATTTGCTTAATTTGCTCTTGTGAACACCAAGTGTCAGCTAGCTCTTTAAGGGAAATATCTCCTAGTTAGCATGAGCAGAAATAGCCAATGTGAACAGAAACTTAATCTACATAAAGTCCAAGAAAAAAGAGAAACATCACAAACATGCAATATGTGATTGACAGGTGATCTCAGAGCAAAAAAAAAAAAAAAATACCAGCAATAAGCACTTTATACCAAAGACGTCAACCAAATCAAATTTCAAAGCAGACTCAAAGTTTTCCACTTAAGTATTTCTGCACATACAGTATCAGTGATCTGACCAATCTGGGCCTTGGCAAAGAAACACTGACAGCTTTGATAAGTGCGTTTGGTGTTATTTAACAGATTCGTATCATCTCTAGTAAACTGTCATCGGCGGTACACGTTCGTGGCTTCACCTCGTCTCTATGAAATTCACAAGAATTCCCAAGAAGAAAACACACAGCCAGAGTGTTTAAAATGCTGCTGGTATTGTTACATACAGGTTGTCATCGTGCTTTTTACCGCAGGGCCATGGTGGCATTTTCACAGTGCTGTAAAACAGAATGCCAGTGGGTCGAAGTCTGTGAAGTACCAGCATGAATGTGTGCACGTCCGTCGCCTGCCAATCCCTGATGGATCAGCAACATGACCAACATGCCAGAGGACCACCAGAGTCCACTTGTCTGTGGAGCTTCTCATTATTATTTGCTCTCTCTCTCTCTATCTCCTGTTTAATTTTTTTCTGCATGAACAGCAGCTTAGCATGCGCTGACATTTTAATTCCACCACCAAATCCCCCCAACATATTTATCTCAGAGAACTCATCAAAAGCTTGTCCAGTCGTTTCCCCTCCCACTGCTTCCCTGCCTACTTCCCTTTCCCCTCTTTAATAACCAAGGACATGGTAATAATTGCAGGGGGAGGTAAAGGGCAAGAGGAGGGCACGTGTTTGCAAAGTACAAACCGAGGCAAACGCCATCTGAATGTTTACCCCGATAAGTGGGTGCTAGGACATAATTTTTGAGGTCTGTTATTGACACCTCATTAACTCAAGTGAGCCGGTGCATTTGATTTTGACGGTTTGAATGCATATTTTCCTTTGAGTGTGAGTTGTTGTTGTGTCTACAGGCGCTCTTGGCTCTGCCTGTGGACAGACTGAGGGGGGATATTGTGTGTTGCAGCTGGGTCACGTGGGAGCACATTGCAAAGTCTCCCTTCTCATCATATATTAAAAAGCTTTTCATCCCAGGTGCTCGGAAGCTTTACTAATTCATGCTGTTTTATCAGGGCAAAGCTGGCACATGTGAGGCGAACAGCTTTGTGGATTAGCATCTTTAACACTATTTTGTTCGCCTGCTTGAATGCTGGTAAAAATGACTGTTTTCATTCCATTCTCTGTCTGTCTAACCAAGCCAGTCGTGTGTGTTGCAGAATTTTAACATCTTCGGATTAGGATCGAGTGTGGAGCACTGTTTCATTAACCCACTTGAATTTTGGTCAAAACAACTCTTGTTATTTCCTTATTCTCTCTGTCTAACCAAGCCAGGAGAATATCCTGCAGAAATTTATTTGTTTTCTGTTCTGCTTTACAGTATGTGCTTCCAAACAGAGACTCAGTTGGCTGAAAACAATCCACTTCAACATTATTATCTTTCTCCCGCTGTTATAGCTGCAATGTCCTTTTCTATGATTGTCTATCAAGCTGCCTATCTCTGCCGGCACGACAATTCAGTTAATAACCGTTGAGTCCTCTCCTTTCGGCTGAGATGTGAGATACACAGTGTGACATATGCTGTGTCGACTGTCATTTCTATGGAAACAGAGAGATCTTGTGGTTCTGAAGAGTTCCTCCTCGCTCCCCTGAAGAATATTACAAGGCAGCTCAGAGTATCGAACTCCAGCGCCTGCTGCAGTGACCCCGTCCCTCCCAGTTGCCCACCTTGCTGGCGAGGAGAATTTACTGCTGCCCTTCTACTCAAATTAAGAGGGAAAAAAAAACCTCCCCCGGAAATCAATGTGGCAGCCCAACGTGCATTCACAATGGCCCTTTGATCAATTTATATTGAAAATACAATTAAACTGTCACAGGGGGAGAAAAGAAAGCCACATGTGCAGTCAGTATGGTCACCAAGAAGCTCTGGCACATCAATAGCTAGCCATTTCTCCTCTGCCCTCCTACGGTACCAAATCGTAAAAAAGGCAGAGAGCATGACGCTATATCCATTAACGCTGGGACTTTTGGGACACTGCAAAGAAATCCCCATCTTATCAAGTGATTCTGTCTATAATAGAGGCCTAAAATAGGGGCCTAAAATCCTTTTCTAAAAGGAATAGTTGACATTTTGTGAAACATGCTTTCTCGTTGAGAGTTAGATGAGAAGATTGATACCACACTCATGTCTGTCCAATAAATATAAGGCTACAGCCACAGGCCGGTTAGCTTAGCTTAGCATAAAATAATTTTTATACTTCAGCTTTTGTATGAATAAAACAATACAACATGCTAGTTATTGAGCTTTAGGTGTTCTGGAAGGTGGATTTTGTGAGTTTTGGAAAGATCCACTCTTTTTGCTAACTTGAGCTAACCAGCAGCTGGTGGTAGCTTTATATTTTCCATGAGAGAGCATCAATCTTCTCATCTACCTCTCAGCTTAGCTCAGTCAAAATCTTTTCCAAAATCTGACACTGCAATCTGCACCGGCCTCCCCCTCCCATTCCATGCCTGTCGGAGAAACTACGGTTTCTATCTGGAATCAGTGTTTGGTTTGTCCGTTCAGGGCCATGGTTCAACATGGCGGACTCCGACTCAATGGAGGACCAGCTTCCTTTGTAGATAAGAACGGCTGAAGGTAATGAAAACACAATGATTCCTATTTTCAGGTGATTAAACACTAATGAATGCCTAAAGTATGAATATTATATTCAATTTCTGCCAATAGATCCTGCTAAATTTTAGAATGTTACACACTGGACCTTTAAGCTAACCATCAACTGATAGTAGCTTTATATTTACTGTGCAGATTTGAGAGTCAATCTTCTCATCTAGGCTACCTCTCAGCAAGTGTTTTCCAAAATGTCAAACTATACCTATTCCTCCTCTAAAACAAGTCACTGTAGCGACACACAATATCAAACTGTTTGGAACAGACATTGACTTGCTTTGGTAATTTTCTACAAATGAATGTCTGTATCTTGAGTGAAAAAAGAACAAAGAAAGTTGCTGCACTCAAATCAAGAAAAATGAAACTTGATTTCAGAGAATACTTGAAACAAGTTGATTTGCATTGGAAACAGGTTGACATATTCTCACACATTTTAGGAAAATAGTGCTTGAAGGACGCAATTACAGAGAGAAATGACTAGTGAAGACTTCTTTGCAGTGAATCAGCTATGAAAAAACTATTATGCATTTACTTTAACCATTATATCATCAATAACATGCTGAATATTTCCAAACCTTCCACTCAATTAGCCTTCTCTGCTAAGTGATACCATAATATTTCCAATGGCTGGCATTTTTTCAGAGTAGAAGATATTTATTTCTATTCCTACATGCTTCATCTTCCAGTTTGAAGTGGGCTGAGAAGTGAAGTGGTACTCATCAGACATCTGTGCATGAGAACTTATAAGCGAGCCGTCTTTGTTTGTGAAATTAATCAGCTTTGAGTGCAGCAAATGTTAGTGCAGACACGATCTGGCCACCATTTGTGCTTCACTCGAGTTAGGCCAAAAAGATGGCATTGGAAATGGGCTGCTTAGGGCAATTAGCCAGTTAGCCTTTAAGGCCTTGTGTCCTGGCCTGTCGAGAACTGGCTGCCTTCTATGTAGCCAGATGGTAGCCTCAGACTGTGAACAAAAATAGCCTATCAAATGTCTGTTGATGTGTAAACTTGAGATATGCGGTCAGTGCTACAGAGACTTAAAGGTGAAATGTCAGATAACATATATTTCCCTCTTGTGGACATGAGACATCTTTTGTTTTGTATCCCATGCATAATTTCCAGCATGTTATCTTTTAATTATAGGCAATTCTGAACAGTCTGTGTTCGCTTTGCTGCAGGGCTGTAGCTACTACTGAGGACAAGAGGTCATGTCCTCAGTGTTGTTTCTGGGAATTTGGGGGATTTTAACAACACAAATAAGTATTTTTATTGTACAATTACACACAGAAAATACATGCAGGCTTTTTAAAGCTGAGTTTGGTATATATTTTAGACTCAGTATCTTTAAATTTTACATTCTTACAATGTAAAAGGTGAGTCCTATTATCATAAAACATGTAAAAATAAACTAGTTTCAGGTATTTTCTAAAAATCTAGTGCGGCTACCTGCATTATTATTTTATCTTTTAAGATACAGACATATTTTTGAAAAAATCTCGAGAAAAGCTGATTTCTACAGGAGGAAGAAATATAATTTATGCATAGGAAGATTTTTGCTTTTTTATATTTATATGTATGAGCAGCAGGAGGAAAAGGAGACATTACATATGAAAATCAAGCGACAAAAAGCGATGAAATATTGTGTTGACATTGCATAACACATCTAGTCACTAAACTAATCACGTATGCATTATACATGTACATACATTTACATTTACATAGTCACAGATTAAAATACAAAAATAAATGGTGTGAATGATACAGAAAAATAATGCATACTGAGGAGAACATGAGGTAAATATGCTGTGCTATGCCTCAGCCTGTAACTTTCAAATATAATATGTGATTGCAATTTATTATAAATAAAATGAAAACCTAAAGAAAATAATGCTTTTACATCTCAATTTAGAAATAAATGAGAGATTTTTTTGCAGTGTAGACAAAAAATTATAGACCATTATGTAGGCTATAATATAATAAAATGACAGTGAAAGGACCAGTGTGTAGGATTCGGTGGCATCTAGTGGTAAAGTTTAAGATGCAACCAATTGAATACCACTCAGCTTTGAGGTGTGTAGCAGATACAATGATTGCTGCACAACTCTATATTCAGTGTTTGGTATGTCTGTTCTGGGCTTCCTTAGAAACAACCTTCAAATGAATAAATAAATATGAAATAATTCATAATAATCTGATTTCTTTTTGTTAATTTTTAGTCAAACATTTCTTCAGGGGTGGTGGGGCTGCATGCAGGAATTTGGGCTCCCTATCTCAGTATATATGAAATCCTGTTGACAGCCCTGCTTTGCTGTCATATCTACTTGCCCCTCATTTGAATCAAACTTGGCCAACTAAGCACTTAATTACAGAGAAAAAGCCTGAATGTTTGATTATAGAAAATCAATTAATCTCACCCTGACAAAACCACCGGGTGTCTGAAACAGTAGTAGGCAGGTGATAGCACAGGGACAATTGCAAGGTGCTGTGGCAGTGTTGGCGTATCTCGCTCAGACATCACTTCGCCCCTGCGACGTTGTCAGACAGATGTTTGCCGGGCCTCGTCGCTGCATGACCTCATCACACCCTTTCCACCGCTGCGAAGGAGAGGAGCGTAATTGAAGTTGCCCCCCCCCCTCCCCGCGCACAAACGGGAACTTATCGCCTAATCAACAAACACTGCCAATGTGTGCTCCAGGTCGCTGCTGGAGACCGCAGGGGTTGCCATGGCGCGGGTACAGCCAGGCCTGTGCCATATTGCAAACTCCTTGCCTCTTTGCCAAGGTGAGCAGCTGGTAATGGGGGAGCATGAACAGGGACCAAAAATCACCCCACCCCCTACAAACAAACACAAAAATCCCTGCACCTTTCCACTCCACTGCCATAAGACGCTTGAGTCCTTCCCCCAGGTTGCCTCAACCGCTGAGTCATACAGGACTGGGCAGCATATTATGTCTGTGTTCATTTTCTTTCGTCTGATTTCCAGCCCATTACTGCAGGCTTGTGTTGCAGGGCTTGTGTGTTGGCGTGCATGCTGGTGTGTTTGTTCACATACAGAGAACATTGCTTACTTGCTAGGGACTATGTTGAGGAGTCTACCCACCAGGCCTAGAACCACTGGGGCCTATCAGAGGCTGTAAATACTTTATGAGATATGATAGTAGAGCACAAACACTCCTAAACCACAGGCCATTAACCATTTTCAGTGGATATGTGCCCTTTGGTAAAGTAAGAAATAATGAAATAAACAAACATTCTCTTCCCCCAGTGACAGCCAGGGCCCTCGGAGGCCTGTATGCAGCTCGCCTGCTAATGAGAGCCAGTGTACGATTCCCCTCCTGCAGGAAAAAAAAATCATTGGCCAATACAGCAAGATTAGCAAGATTAGCAGGCAACCAGCTCCCCAACAAGACACTGCCAGAGTCTGCTTTTCCCCCTCATCTCGATCGCTTCCGTTAATTCCTTCCTGTTCCAACTCCTTTTGTTACGCTTGTTCAGGAAAGATTAAAGTTTCATTTGTTAGTACTTCACAACTCGATAAAGCCGTTGTAAAAGAAGAAGAAAAAAAGAAGCAACCGGGGGGAGATTGAGTTTACCAAATAACTGGAGACGGGATGTTGTAATTCAAGTGCAGTTTCATCATTCTATCTTTTACTGTGTGTCAAGAGCTGCTCCCTTGTTTATAATAACCTGCCATTGTGTTATTTCCAATTCATTTTTTTCACCACAAACAAAAGTGGTTTTGTTCCATGCTGTGTTCTCTGGTTGCCATGATGTCACTTGCAATGACAAAAGCCTTCTCTTTTGTGTTTCTCGTAGTTTTTTTTGTTGAATTTTTTTCAGTTTTTCTTCAAAACCTACTACATTGTGAGAATATGGCCACCTGAGGATACAGATGCAGATGGTTGTTCTCTATGTTGAGCCATGTGTTCAACTCAAAAGCTATTCATTCCTTTTAGGGGCTCATTCATTACTTGTACTTTATCTAGCAATTAACAAACAGTAATTGCAATCAGATAAGATCTACATACTGCAATCCTATGTGACAACTGGCTAGTGAGCTGACAATGAGGACAAGCGCCCAGCTGCATGTGCTTGGGGGAAACAACAAGCGCTCAGAGCCATGATTAAGTGTGGTGCTCGAAGGTTGATCCCTTAATGGCGTCTTCAGGAGACAGGCTCTTAGGCCGCAGCCTTTGGCTCTCTAAGTGTATACCACACTCAGATAATCCATTCTTCTTTTGCTATTAGTCCTTTTACAAGCTAAAAGGACGAGTGGCACATCAATCACCACTCTCTGAAGACAAAGTGGTTTGATCATGCTCGGTACTTACTTTTGATCTTCATTCACTCTGTTTTTTTTTTGTTCTTTTTGACTTTTTTGTTCTTTCCCGTATTTGCTCGCCTCATACCATAGTGAGTGTTGTAATCCTTTTAGACCAGGGCTGAAAGTCAACCCTCACTCGGGGAGGACGTATGTTGCAGAATCTCATTTGGTTGGATGACTCTATCCTCCGTGGACACACGATAGGAATGCAAAGCACTAGCTCCATTCAACTCCTTGCACAAAACAGCCTTTCTTCCCCCTCTGTCGTCCTGACCTTGCAACAACGCTTCACAATCTCCTCAATTACAGTAGGTTGGAAGAGGAGACTGATATCTTGACTTCCGCTCCGCTGCATGTAAAGCAAGCATTATTTGGCCCGTCTTCTTGTACATCCCCCAATGTTATCTGGGTCGACACTGTGCTTTCATTTTGTTGAACAAATAATACCTTCGGAGGAAGTCATATTTTACTGTAGGGCAAGACAGCCGCTTTAGGATGGCTTGATGTGAGTGGAATGGACATCATGCAAGCAGCCACAGAGCTGACAGTAAGCACAAAATATATTGGACGGCCAAAAGCAAACAAAGCCTGAGGATGGATGGATGGAAGTCCGATACATGAGCATTAGCCAATCGGAGTATCATGTCATGTCTACTATCTCATGATGGGATGATTCTTGTATTCTCAGAGACAGAATGATACACTCATATACGGATGTAATTCATTCTGAAGCATCTCATTTAGAGCAGTATTATAAAAGAGGATAATTATGTTATCTAAAAATCTTTGATGCAACTAAAAAAAAACACTGTAGGTAGTAAGGTTGTTCCCCTTTTAGTGCTATTATGAAAACTAAACTTTCCAAAATTTTAGTTTAACAAATAGAGCAATATCTGGTGAGATTTACATTCATTTGGATTGATGGATGGGATGGATTAAAAAAACATAGCAGAACTCTTCTTGTCTTTATAAATATGTATTGACAAGACAGTACATAATGAGACATTTTGAAATTAACAAAAATAGCAACTTTTGTCGGCATGTAAACAGTTCAAATTGTGTTGTGTAGATAGTGGCTGCGTGGAAAGTGAAAAGACTGGAAGCCCAGAGGAATAAAACTAACAATAGACATTGAGGAAAAGACACAGAATGAGGAAGAGAGACTCCTGGAGACTGAAAGTTGTTGATTTGATGCACAGAGGCCAAAGACAGTTTTTTTTTAGCTATTATTTTTGAAACTTGAAATTTGTTCAAACATCACTAAAATGATCACTGCTGTAGTGTCTTCAGTTCATAGAGATCACTTATCAATGTAACAGCGTAGTATCCCGGGGTTTTCTGTTATTTCTCTTTTCAACTGTGGTGGGTTTTAATGGTTGTTGACACCAACTACAGATTAATACCTTTTTACTCTGACCAAAAATTGAAAGCTGAGTTTCAATTCTGATGAAACTCACGTATTCACCCCCAACTTGGTCAGTGATCCTTAAAATATGACAGTTGAGCCCTGCGTGTCCAGAAATTAAACGAGAGGGGTACCTATAGCATCATATTTTAAGTGTCACTGACCACGTGGCAGAAGTTAGACTTTCAAAATAAAGCTTGCATATTAAATGTTGTGAAATGGTCGCAGTTTGGTTAGGTTTAGGCACAAAAACTACTTGGTCTAGGAAAAAAAGAGGAAAAAATTGTACCTGATGCAACTTAAGTACGTTACGTAAGTTAACTTACATAACTTACTTACTTAAACTAAATAGATTACTCTTGGTTTTACACGGAACATGAACAGTCCTGTGTTTGAGCCATCCATCTACATGTCACCTGAATTTGATGGCGGATGCATCCAGAAATAATGCTAGAGGGGTACCTACAGTGTCATATTTTGAAGCGGGGGGGAACAAACTTCATTATTTGTTTACTTGGGAGTGACCACTGTCACTAATTTTGAGTAAAAGCAAGGAAATACTGCTTTCTATGTCTGTGTTTGCATTGTGTTTTGTTATAGTCTCATTATGATACTTAAGTTTTAGTACCAGTAGCAAAACAATTCTATTTCAATGCTTTACTTTACTACTACAAATTAAGCAGAAATGTTAAGTGCTGTCTGCAGCGCTGCAATAACTTAGAATAAAATAGTATCTGAATGAGGACTTATCTGATCAATATATAAACAAGATTACAAATCTGACAGACAAAACAAATTGTACTTAAATATTTATGATACTCTATGCTACAAACATTTCAGCTTGTACCTAAAGAGTGTTTACCTTGATCTGTGTTACATATTGTCATTATCCATGTACCTATGTGGGATTATTGTATGTAAATCTGGTTTCAGATCAGATGAGCTAATCTTTGACGGACCCATCTGTGATCATCTCATTTGACCCCACTGGGCTCTGGTATAACAGAGCATGTATATGAATGTGTGTGTTCATCACTGCCATGAACAGCAGCTGTAGTCTACAGCTGCCTGTGCTGCAGATGTGGCAGTTTGTCTGATAAAGGAAAAACAGAGAAAGTGTGTTCTTAAACTACCTTTCCGACATACTGCATGTCTGTCCCGGTGTACTCCTCCAACAAAAAGAACTGGTTCCACATCCAACCTCGTTTGGAACGCCTGAGCGGAACTCCATTGGCGTCCTGTCCTGTCAGCCCTGTGGACCCCCTCCGCCCCCCTGTAGTCCTTCGCAGGGCCCTGAGCCCGTACCCTGGAGAGCTGAGGTGGGCCATAGCCCACAGCACCATCAATGCGCAAACTTTCCTTCTATCCATGGCCACACCACCACCAGAACCTTCTGTCTTCTCCCCCCTCAGTGGTCTCAGTGGTTTTTGGTCAGAGTATTGGATCAGTCCTCATGCTGTAATCTACTGAAGCAGGAAAGGCTCCTCAGACTCATATAGGGCGGCAAACAGCACCTGGAACATTTACACAGAAAAACAAAGTGTCAATACTGGGAGGGGAAGCAGCAATTTGTTACTGCACAAACTCTCCTTTTGTTTCATAACCTGCAGTCAAGACCAGTGCAGTTGAGTTCCAGGTTTTTTTTGAAAATGCAGTACTTTTAAAATTGAGTGCAAATGGAGAGTAAAAGACCAGAAAAAAAAACAGACTCCTTGAGATGTCTTTCCAAATATGTGCTAAAAAGTTTTTTTTTCCAAATCAATAGAGATAAAGATCAGATGAAGTTCATTTACACCCAAAACGTCTAAAATTATTAATCGACTAATCAATTAGTCCCTTACAAGGCAAAAATGCCAAACATTCTCTGGATGCAGTGTTTTTTGTTCAATATACAATTTTTCTAACAAAAACGATCTGTTTGAAGATGTTAGCTTGGATTCTGAGAGGATGTGGTCATTTTTCACTTTTAGAAACTAAATAAACAACCAAATAATTATCGACACATTAATCAATAATGAAAATAATTGTTAGTTCAAGCCCTATTTAAAGCCTCCATCTGCAGGAGATCTGTATGATACCCATTAGGATGCAAAGGCAGGAGGCTTTAAGTAATCAAGTACAGGTAAATAACAGGCATGAGACAGAAGGCAAACTGGAGAGCAGAAAAATCTTTAATTGTATGTGAAAGGCTTTTTTGCTGCCACACACACACATTCACGCATCCCCATCCACACAAGCCCTGATATACATTCCCGTGCACATGCATACTGTATGTTGGATGACAGTCATCTGATTGATGGACAGGCTGAGTGCTGCCTAAACTGATAAATATCAGATGAGGAATATATTACACATCAATGTATAGGCTTACATCTTGTACAGCACGTGTAGAGCTACTTTATCTGCATTAAGCCCCTGAATCAACATCTAATAGAGTGCAAGGCTCTATATGGAACAGCCTGTTCTATCTTTTTAAACAATCTGCTTCGGCACACTTTGTTATCAGACCCAGCAGAATGCCAATGGAGACCCTGGGCAATGTCAACCCCAGTTTATTACCTTAAGATCAGTGTAAAGATACTGAACAAAATGACTGTTTGCAAACCACAGAGAAGGGCTTGATGTGGGCAGTAGAATATCTCCGCTCTCCCTCTCTCAATCATTTCTCCCACCCATCCCTTTTCCTCTTTCTCTGTCCCCCATCCTCCGAAGGCCAATGCAGAATGCGTTGGCAAATGTGAGAAGGAAACGGAACAAGAGGAACAGCGCAGGACGGAGGTGGAGGAAGAGGAGGGGTAGGTACAAAGAGAAAGAAGGCCATGTATTCTGCTTTTGTTCTCATTATTCCTCTCCGGCTGGGCAATATCCAGGCCGCCAGTGTTCCGCGGCTGGGGTTTGGTAGGAGGGTTATCAGTGAGTCCACTGGGGAGCAGTCTGTAACGTTCCTCCATATCGCTCGTTCTCAGAAGGCGGGGAGGGAGTGGGGGCATGGGGGGTAGAGGAGGGTGCAGTCTAGCCCCAATGTATGGCAGGTTTGGTCGGCTTCCCTCACACAGTATGTTGGGGAATGAGGAAACGATGTCTCTGGACATGAATTAAGTACCCTGACCTGCATGCAGAAGTGGAGCCAGACAGACGGAAGGGAGTGAGGGGAAATGGAGCGAGAGAAGAGGAGTGAGAGGAAGGGTGCCGGCTAAAGGGAGTGGAGGCAGTAGTGCTGTCACGATACCGCAAATTTGTCAGCGCTAAGTTTAGTATCTAAAAAAATCTGATAGCACAGAAATAAAGAAAAACCATCAAGCAATGTCACAGAACAACCGCTGAGCTTCATACAAACAGATGTCTCACCACATCGACTGGGACAGCTTTATAGCAACTTTTGTACAGGCGTTTTGATGTCGGCTGGGTGTCTTTGTGGATTCGATAAACAAAATACAGTAGCAGCATATTTCACTTCTGTGCCAGTCTGTCAAGCTGTTTGCGGTGACGAAAGATTTGGTTCAAAACATAATGGAGAGTTTGATACAGTGTGTGTTTTCAGCTCTTTGGCTTTGTCTGTTCCACTGGCTCACAAAGACAGTTTGACTATCTTGTTTACTTTCACTCCTACGAGCCCATCCCAAAGTGCACCGAGGGTACAAATTCAAACATCGTGTAAAAAATGCTCATCGACTGTAAACTGTTCATTATTAACGATGCTGTTGTGTGTTGTTTTTTTTATTTTTTTACCACAGTTTACACACGTCATGGTCCTGGTGAAAAATTAGAAAAGTCTCACAGTGAGCTGCACAACACTGTTAGCTTACGAGCAAGAAAGCAAACTTCATCTATAGCAGTCTTCAAAACAGCTCCAAAAAGCTTTGCACAAGGAAGAAAAGAGAGAGAATAAAAAAAAATAAAACAGACAAGACAATATATAAAACACACAATGTGTATAAACCACAAAATATGAGGCTATAAAATAAAGAAAAAACAAGGCAGTATTCTAGGAGCATGTTAGGTTGTTCAGTTGATAGTTTGCACACTACTGCTAGCTGACTTGTATTTTGTGTACATTGTGTACATTTTCTAGGACTGCTGATTTTTGGCTTGTTTAGTCTGACCAACAGCCCAGAACCCTGTCACAGTCAGTCTCCCTGTCTCTGCTTCCCCCTCAGTCGTCTGCATTTGGGTCCCTTTTTCTGTTTTCAGCTGTGACAAATCCAAAGATGTTATGTTTCTAATTATAATTATAAAACAGAGGAAACCAGCAAATTCTTGCATTTGAGAAGGTGGAAATAGACAATGTTCATTAATTTTGCTTGATATATAGCCTAAAACATTTAAATGATTATCAAAACAATTACTGTTCAATTATTATTATTTACTATTATGTGAATGTGTGTGAAAGGGTGGCATGTTGTGTAAAAGCGCTTTGAGTGGTCGGAAGACTAGGGCACTAAGTACACTCCATTTACCATTTCCTTTTCTACTTAACTGTTTTCAGCATTTATTTACAGCAACTTTATTTACCTTCGTACGAATTGAGTAGGGAAAGTCTTAGCCTTTCAAAGAATTAGTCATCTCTTTAGTTCCACAAGCTGTTCAGGTTGCTTTTGTGTCAGAAAATATCAGCATAGCTGCTGCTATTGTTTTTGTACTGATGATGGCACGTCTGTGCATTGTTTTGTAGGATGACTTTGGAGATTCTGAGAAAACCAGCTGATGTCAAACTGTTTTAATGAACTTATGCTCTCCTTCCAGCCCCAGTGTTTGTTTACGCCCTCTAGATGTGATGGTGAAATGGAAAATTTAGCATTTCAGAACAAACTTGTACAAGTTTTTGACATCAGATGTAGTTACCGTGACAACACTAACGGGCAAATGGGGAGAGAGAGGGAGTGAAGGAGAGGTAGAAACGTCCTGTCAGAGCAGCGTCAGCAGTCAGGCTGGGATACTGGCCCATCCATTACGCTACCTGTCTTCCAGAGGCAGCCAAGGCATGCCCTGCTTTCCCCTTATGAGGCAAATTGCGAGCGGTTGAAGCTGGGGGTTAGGTCCCTTCTTTCTCTTTTCCCTCATGCGTTGCAGTTTATAGCACTCCTCCACCCTCTAACTCACATCAACCCCCACTTCTCATCCCCATCCCCCTGCCCCTGCCTACTTTGCTTGCATAGGCCTGAGCTGATATGCATTATTGCTGGGCTTTTCGCTGAAAGCCAGTCACTTTGCATGTGTCCTCTGCCTGGCTCAGCACGGGGAGGGGGAAAAAATACTCCCAGGTCAACAGTGCGTGTGCTGATGGAGGCAGGTGAAAGTGAGATGGACTGTCAGCCTTCTTAATAACGCCCGTAGAGAAATGATCTCTCAGAACAACACTTTCCACTTTTTCTAAGCTGCAACTCTCATGGCAGAAGCTCTGTTTCCTATCTAAATTTGCTAGATGACTGGATGATTTTTTCCCTGCTTTGTCCGCCCCTCTCTCTAGTATTTCCCTTTTTATTTCCCTCCCCCAACTCCCAGCGCACACACACTTTATGAATTTACTTAATTGACGCTGGTGAGGAGCATGTGGGACTTTGAGCTATTGATTTGCTGTAGGCTTCAGCGTAGTTGGAAATACCAGTCGGTCTCTTGGGTAGACTCATGAAGCTTTCTACCTCGAGTCCCCCAGCACTGGGAAGCCGGCCTTTTCAATAGATTTCTTCATAATGTCACTGTGGAAAGCTAATGCTTTCACTGTATGGAGGGCTCCATTGTCCCTAAGGAGCGCTCGCCCCTTGACCACATTTGTCATACCCTACAAGCCATATTGTACAGCTTCTTGCCCTGATAATTCTCTTGACAAGGGACCACGACCAGGAGTAAGTCAGCTAAAGCTTTATTTTGCTATGTCAAAAATGTCACAGTGGGTTAAGAATGCTATAGTGCAACATGTAGCCCAGTGGCTACGATAAAATGCCTGCCTCTTTACATTTCTACTGTATGAAAGAAAGACAGAGGGAGAATTGAATGGAATTTCTTACAACTTGGATCTTATTAATAGTACTAGCCTTCGCTTCTATTGGCACCAAGTTAATTACTCAGATTAATACTGATTACAATGTGGCAAAACTGCAAAGAAGAAATCTGATAGGTCAAGCAATGCAAGAAGTCAGTCTGTATACTATCCTGTGCACTGAATTAGAAGAGAAGCACTGTCTGTTGTAAACATCCATCAAAGTTTACAGACTGAAGTCCTTGCTCAACTTTGACCTACCATACTTGCTATTCTTGTGCACACAGTTTTATTACCTCACATTTCGGGTGCGCTCACTTTTAGATTTATCTCCAAATAAAGTCGATCTAAGCTGACTGCTTCTTTCCCCTGGTGTTCATTGTGGTGTCACTGTGTTTCCAGATCACAGTAATTAAATTTCTGAGTTCAATGTTACCAAAAACTAATGGAAATGATGCCAAAACTACAAAACCCAGCTTCTATTAAACCTAAATTTTCCTTAAAAGAAATAGAACCGGAAGCAAGACTGTGTAACTA